TCAAGAGAAGGAAAGTCTCTTGTGGACTATGTCAGTAGGGTCTACTGCCTGAGAAACAGAAAGGAGACTGCCATAAACACATTTTGGTCTTGTAGTGTGAATCTTGCCCACAGTGAAAGAGCAGGGCTGCAGCATACAAATTGTATATGCCTCTTCATAGTATATTAACACAATAATAGCAAGACAGAATTTCAATAAATTCTTCACCTTACTCTTTTCCAAAGTTCTCAAAAGCAGGATTCAGTTATAGGGAAGCTTTGGACATTATTTCCAATTTATCCAAAAGGTTAAGGAGGAAAGAAAAAATCTACTGCTAAGAAGTACATTTAGCAAAATTAAGCATTAGTTTGAAGTTAAATGTTTACTTCCTTGCCTTTTAAATGTATTTGATACTGGAGGTAAAACTTAAAAAAAAAGCTTGACTAGAAATTAAGAGTCTGTTAATGCTTACCACTATTTATTCAATATATACAAAACAAATTCAAGAATAATGTGGAAGCTACCAATGGTGGGAAGACATCTACTGAATGACTTCTAGAACAATACAAAGAAAATGTAAAGAGATCAAACCAAACACTTGCTAATGGGCACAGAATTATTGGAATTTTGGACCAACACAATTATATATTTTAAAATCAAGCACATGAGAATTATCCCTATGATAATAGAAATTTAAAAAGAAAGGCCAATGAATCCAGGTAACCCAATCAAACTATCACACCGATTATTACGGAGCCTCTCAGGTACCAGTTTACGTATGTTCTGTCGCAAGAAAGCAAGTCCATGGCAAAACAAACAAACAAACAAACAAACAAGTTATTGCAAGGTGTTTCATGCTAGAAGCAATAGTAGCCATTTTTATACTCGGAAACAATCCCTAATTTTACCAGAAATCAACAATGTACTCATCCCAGCTAGCGGTAAAACTACAGCCTACTCCTTGTGCCTGCATCCTAACAAAAAGCCATTTTGGCAAAGTAAGAATGTCCACAGGAGATGAAAAATTACCTTAGGATGAAAGAAGAGAAGAAATACGAGTACAGATCAGCAAATTTTATTTTGTTTTGTTTCTAAATAGACTAAGCGTTAATCATGGATTCTAAAAGAAAAGAAGAAGGAAAGTAGGAAGAAAGGGAGAGAGGAAAGAAAAGATCAGATCAACATGACCTGTAACACACACCGCAACATCCCAAGGCTTTGCCGTCCTCTCAAATTTGCTACGAGACTTGTAGTTTAAAGAACGTGCCCTTATCTTCAGTTGCTGAGCTGGGAGGCACGTAAGAATTAACTATTATTTATACTAACGAGACATTTTATAACACTGGTATTAAATTCAGAAGTTGGATTAAACCACCAGGAAATGCATATGCCAATAAAATATTAATTACCTGTCTTTAGACAGTAGGATGTGAACTTTGGGGCTTAACACATTACTTTTCAACTATAAAAATATCCTTTAAAAACACTCTACCTCTCATTTCTAGCCTCTAGTATTTCGAAAGTGAGATTGTAGAGGTTCTTAGTGTTCACTCCAGGTTAATTACGTGTGGTGGCCATGCCTCATGCTGGCATTCCATGCTACGTAATTTATAATATACTAACTTAATTTATAAACTGGCTAGATTGTTTCGTTGTGTAAGGAGACTCAAATGGAACATATTTAATTATTTGAGCTCCCAGAAGAACACTATGCAGAATGAAATGGGCTTAAATTGGCATTCCTTACAACATGCTAGGTTTCAGAAAGACACAGCCCAGTGGCTTTTAGCTAGATCAGACAAATGATCTTGCCAAAAGCCAACAGTATAAAACTCCTGGGCTATACGTGGATGTCATCAGACAAAGGGGCTGCCTCCATTGCTGGTAAAAATGAACGTTTTTAGAGATATGAGGTGAAGGAATCCCAATCACTGCTGCAAAAACAGAACTGAAAATTCTTCAAAATATCCCAAGTAAGGCACTTGGTCTAGCATCCATTTTGTAAGTTCTCAGGCTTTAAACTCTCTCCTCCATAACATTCCTTTAGGAAGCTGGTCTTCTTCAGACGTCCCATGATTTTCCTCTCAACAAACATCACAGGGAGAAGAGATAGACAAGACGTGGTTCCCTGCATGCCCTGCCTGATTTAGTGCAGAAATTGAGGTTTTTCCCTCTGTGGGTCCCTTTAGCAGGGATTCAAACATTTTCTTCCAATTTCACCACACATGACTGTGGCTACTGACATCCATAAACCACACGTATAAGGAAAGGTAAGCTATGACTCTGTGCTTTATAAGGGAAGGAGAAAAAAGTCCATGTATCATCTTAAAAGCTGCTTCCAGCATTCATTATTGAATGAGCTCATTTTGCTTGAGGAAAACAAATCAACACACACAATGACACCAAATACAACAAACTTGGTAACTATCTGGAAATAGAAGGTAAAACCCTGAGGGCTCCAGGGCTAATGGCAAGAAGAAGGAAGAGCTGCTGTATATGGGTAAAGGGCCCAAAGAGAAGTGTGTGTGTGTGTGTGTGTGTGTGTGTGTGTGTGCGCGCGCGCGCGCGCGCGCACATGCACATGAGTGTTCTTTGAAACAGCAAAAGGCAGAAGAGAGAACAAAATGGAGGAAGGGAGGAACAGAGAGAGAAGGCAAGAGAGAATGCAAAACCCTACAGCAAGGGTTCCCAGGGGACCCCCACTTAGGGCATCAAGAAAGCTTTTGGAGAACTTGAAAGTCTCATACAAAAACTCAAGTTTTGTTATGATACTTCTCCGTTATTAGCAACTCTGCTGTGAAGAAGACTATGCCTGTAGGAGTGACCTGACTTACAGATATTCGTAGAAAAGAGGAGTTTCATGTCTTCATTGACAAGGCAAAGAACAGAGACTACACAGAGATACAAAGTAAAAATCTTGATCCCCTTAGGGATTTGCAGAAATCTCCTTGAGAACCTTGGTCTTTCACAGAATGTGGAATTGCAGTTGGGATCATACCAGTTTTCCTTGGAATGCGAGGGACAGCTTACATCTGAAAAAGTTCAAACTGCTGTCTGAACTCTGGGCACGATTCTTTACCGCAAGGGCTCAGGTAAAGTCAGTGAGCAAAACGATGTAGGCAGGAGACACTAGCGCGTGTTGGGGACTGTGGGAACCCAGAGTCTCCAGCCATCTCCAAATGGGTATAATGTTCCTTAGTTTCACAATATTTGGGCCATTTTAGAAAGTGTACTCAGGGTTGCTAGAGTAACTTTTTCTTTCCATGAGGAGATCCAAATTAAATATTTAGGCAAAATATCTCCATTAAAAAAGTATCTGTGATATGGAGGCTACCTGTTGGCAGGCCCTAACATACACAGCTGAAATTTCATTTCCTTACAAAACTAATTAAAATGGTACCTGTTTGTTCTTTTTCAGCTTATAAAAAACACAAATCCAAAATATTCAGTTCCCCACTCCCTAATGAATGACTCACATTTAATAGTCCAAGACTGAGTTCCAGATATCACATCCACATTTCAGGAGGCAGTATGAAGGAACTTGACAATGTCAGGGAGGTACTCTTTCCATCGTAGATAGAAACTTTCTTCTCCCCCAAGGACAAAGGCATGAAGCAGCTGTCTCTTAGGGAAGGTTCCTATTCGCTGTCATCTGAGATTCCAAATATGCACCACTAGCCTAGATTCAGTCATGTGGTCATACTTACTATGAAGGAGCTTTGGAGAGATTAGTCCTTTTCTGATTGCTCACTTGCCCATATGAAATATTTATTATTATGGAAGAAGAATGTATTATAATTTGGGACTATCCAGGACAAATGGAGTTCTCTGTACAAAAGGTGACTTTAACATTGACCCTTTCCATCTTTCTCACATCCATTAAAAATTCTCACTGCCATGAAAAGAATCCACTTAGACAAACTGTTGTTAATTTCACTCATTCTCAATTAATGTGTTGGTGACGTGCCACAGAATAAAGTTTGAAACCATTTTTTTAAACATATGGAGAAATTTCAAAAAATTGCAACATTAATGTTTGATTAAAAAATATTTTAAAATAGAGAAAAGGAAATAATCAATGGTACAGATACCCAAGTGCCCACCAGCTAGATTTAACTGATATTAATGTGTTCCCATATAAGTTCTCTTTCCTGAAACACGTTTTTAGGGGAAATCCCAATATGGAAAAGCCTGTGTAGAACTGACTATTTTCAAGATGAAGGGTAAGCTCAGAATCCCACCCTTTTCCCTGTGCAACTCCCTTGACCCCCAAATCTCCAGGGTTCTTACTGAGTGCTCAACTAGCACGATTCAATAAGACACTGACAATGAAAAACAAATGCGTACTATTTCTGAGTTGACTAGAATTAAGACGTCTGATACACAACCATACTTTTTCTTCCCTTCTCCTTCCCTCCCCTCCTATTCCTTCATTTATTCCTCCTCTCATTCCTTTTAAAAGAGATCTTGGTTTCATTATTTATTACACACGGAAACATTGGTTGTTCTGACTTTCTTATTCGCTTACATTTAGAGCAACTTGAAATTTCTGAAACATCTTTGGCCTATATTCGCTCTGTTTGGAGGGGATTCTGAATGTCTATCTGTTACGCACTCTAAAGTGAAATATACTACATACGTCGTCTGTAAGTACACTATGGTTTTTGATTTTACACAACTGATTACAATATCACAAGCATTTTATCCTTTCATAAAGTCAAATGCATGTCAATTTCAAAGCAAAGCAAAAAAAAAAATCTAAGTGATGCTAAAATACAAAAACACAATTACATTATAATCCACTCTGGTCTCTGACCTTTTGCATCTGAACTTGAATATGAGTCACCTTCAGATGCCTTGCTAGATACACACTGAGGTTTTAACCACTACCTTTGCCACACCACGTTAAAAGGAAATAAAACAAAACTACATAGAAAGATGAGACTCACGATTCTACACCAGGAATGCATCCACAGTTTTTCTTGCCACTTTGGCCTTGATCCACTTAACAATATGGAACAGCAGGGTGGCTGGCAGCGGAAAAACTAGGGTCTCAACATGTCAGGGACAAGTGGCGTATTTCTGCATAGCACGGCTATAGCAAGCGTTTTATTTTCCCCTGAAAGACTCAATTTGTCTAATTTTATCGGAGACACGAGCCCCGGAGAGTTCCTGAATGAGTTTACCACAATGTATTCTGCACACTTCAAAAATAAGAAATAAATATGACATGACTTACCCTGACCTCCCTTCCAGTAATTCCTGCCTTCATTCACTCCTCGTTTCTAAAGAAAGAAAAAGCAAGAAGCACTCATTGTTAGTATAGCTACCAGTTATATGATTTAATCCAGAATATAATTCTGCAAAAATTAACTGCTGAATGGCAGCTCTGCTTTTTTTTTTTTCAATCTTTGACAAGTTGCTGAAATTAGTTCCGTGAAAACCACTCATTGATGTATGATTGGCATACAAAAAGCTGTACATACTGAATGGGGGTACACAACTTGATGAGTTTGGAAATAAGGATGCACCCATGAAACCATCACCCCAATCTACGCCGTAAGTATATCTGTCACTTTCAGAAGTTTCCTCAGAAAACTGATTTCATGTTTGCTGTCACTACCATCCACTTTACCTGTTATAGACCAAAGAAGGTCAGCACACATCCATTCCAGAAACCAGACTGCTCCTGTTTTCTTCAGAATTCAGCTCTCTTTAGATTTTGAGTCAAATGCAACTTTTTGATCTATATTTCAGTTTGGAATTTTTTTTTTAATCTTTACATTGGAAAGAGAATACATCAACAAATCTTCCCTTCTCTGTTATTTACTTAGGTCAACGGCTCTCTTCCATTTACTCATATTTTGCTAATTATTGCTTATCTCTTTAATTGTTGCATCTCTAAATGTGTCTATATTAATGTAGAAGAACCATTCAGGAAGCCAAATTCAATGCATACTAAGAAAAATGGAATACCAGGGATTTCAAAAAGGAGCCTATATTTTTCTCTTTCAAAGACACAGAAGAGGAGGGGGGGTGCCAAGGAGAAATAGCTGAGTAGATTTTCAGATCATACAGTGTTAATTTGAAGAATTTAACCATGTATACCTAATCAATGGATTCTATTCATTTGAAATGCTTTCAAAAATAATTAATCAGACAAAAATCGCTTGATACCTAGTGAAGTTGATAATAATCATGAGAAATAAGTAAAGATCAAGGTTCGTTAAAACCTAGAGAGTCACCTCATTTTTCTAATTGCAATTTTATCTAAGTCAAAGTTGAGCTCCGCATGGGGCCCCACTGCTATTAAAACTACAAGTCATGGCGGGGAAAAGACACTCTAACTCCTTAGCCATTGGGCAAAACTGACAATAAAATAGCAGTAAAATAAGCAGCTGGCACAGCCGCTTCCTTCTATCATAAGCTGACAGGGCAACATAATGAAAGCTGCATCAGAAACTATACTTAAGATGAAAATGTATTTACATGAAATACTTGATTCTGAGGCAATTAGGGCTTCATTTATAGCAGCTTGTTACCAGAGTGGTACCAACAGTCCTTCATAATTAAAGGTGTCATTCCATCCCCGGGCCCTTGGTGAGCAAAGTGAGAATTCACCTCCTGTTTCTTGGGAATCGCAGTGTTGTAATCATTTTGAAACAGAGGGCGATGCGCGTTGTCACCTCCCCACTCGGTAACACACAAGCAGCCTGTCCTGGAATCGGCTTCTGAGGACCCAATCGTCCCCGCCCTCCTTGGTAATGTGTGTCATTTTGTCACTTTCCTTCCTAATGCTGCTCACGGTTCTTCTAAGGTGTCGGGGCTCTGAACTTTTAGAAAGATGTGTTGTTTTACACTAAGGCCAGAAGCTCTATATACATCAAGGGGAAGGAAAAAAAAAACAACTTCAAGTGATGGGGGCTTCAAACGAATTTCTAATCTTTACAGTCCTTCAGTACTTATATTTTAAGAACGGAGGCATAATTTATTTCCGATGAAACCGAATTGCTCAGCTCTCTGCTAATAGGATCCTCAGGGCAAAAGGGGGTAGAGAGAGTGGCATCATAAAAAAAGCAGAAAGCTTCACAACTTTTTGAAATTTAAACTAGAAACAATGAATTAATAATTATGTTTGCCATGATTATTGCACATTTATGATAAATTGTTCTCATTTAGTAAATGGGACCATGAACTTGAGTGCCCAAAGGGTTTAATATACAGACCTCTTATACTGGCCTAAGAACCACTGGTGACCGTTCTTATCTTAGGAAGGAAGCCATCAAGCTATTTGCAGGCACCAGCACATAATGTGATTCCGTTACCCCTAAGTCCTAACGCTGTTCTCTTCTCAGAGTCAATCTGATTGGCTGCCAAGTGTGTTTTCCCACCTGAAAGCAAATCACTGTGAAGACTTTTCTGTCGTGGCTACAGAATGGTCAATTTCCCACCTAGTGAAAACACTATTTTTGGAGCCCAGTCATGAAGATTTACTTTTTCATCAGACCACATAAGCAAAGGAATGCTTCAACATCTTGAACTGTCATTGTGGAAGGACGGAGCAGCATCCTACCAAAGGATCGTTAGTTACTAAAGCAAGGGAGGTCCATCTGCCTAATTACCCAGCGATGGAGATGGCCTCTGGTAGGCGCAATACTGAAACTGGGTTTGGTTCGTCCAAGTGTGCTGGCCCGTCATCTTCCCTTGAAAATAATGAAAGGAAAGAATAGAGGGCTGAAGTGGCTGACATGTAGCCAGGGCTCCAGGCAAGCATCGTGCTTCCTCCCGTGAAAAGTACCACCATTTATTATTGCTCATTAAAATTTAATTTTATATGGCATCTTTAAAAGGTCATTTTTTAAATTGGAATTTTGTAAACAACAATACTGACTGGTTAACGACTGTGGGGAAAAAAAAACAAATCTTCGTAGATTTATTGTTTTAAGCGATTATTAAGGAGGAAAGCTTAAACAACAAAACAAACAAATGACTTCCCTCTTACAGAGCCAGAACGTTCTCCTTTCTAAGTAATTTAGTTTACATTATAATTTTCAGTTGGTTTTTGCAGTAGAAGCACCTTGGAAACCTAATTAGAACTGAATAATCATTAGCATATAAAGGATTAAAACCCATAACTGAACTACGACAAATTTAAACCAAGACTAAGATGGTAACATAGAAATAGCACTAGAATGGAAAGTGGAATTTAACTATCTTTCCCTTTCATATACTGCAATTAAAATCTATTTTTCTCCTACTGAAACCTATTTTATTATAGACCATGATTTTTTAAACTTCTGATCTAAAGTGGTCTCATATAGTTGTAAAGCTGTAATAAATGCTACTACTTATAATATCAAGATAAAATAAATCATTTATTCTCCAAAAGAAAAGAGGATATTTTTTAGTGAGTACCAGATTTCCAAGCACTGTATATACATTTTTTTTTACTTAACCCTGCAAGAACACATCAGAGTGGACTCTGAGCCCTTGGAATGAAGGAGACTGATGATTAAGGAGACAAGTGGCTTGCTAAAACCATGCGAGAAGACAGTGGTAGAATGCAAAATTTAGAATATTAATCCAGATCTCCCTGACTCCAGTGGATTTTTTACTACCTAGGCTATCTTCCTAAAGAAAGTGTGTTTATCTGCATTAGTGCAGAGATCAGCAAACTTTTTCTGTAAAGAGAAAAAAAAATGGTAACTATTTTCTGCTTTGTGAGGCATGCAATCTCTGCAGCAACTATTCAAAGTCACTGTTGCAGAATGAAGCAGCCTTAGACAAAATACAAAGAAATGAGCTATCTGTATTCCAATAAAACTTTATTTACGAAAATGATCAGTGGGCCAGATTTGGTCAAAGGGTCATGGTTTGCCCTACACTAGAACGTAAGCTCTGTGGAGGTATTAACTTCATTTTGTTGAACATTATATTTGCTTAATACCTGAAAAAGTAATGCTTAATTAATGGTGATATTAAAAATAAGACTAGTTAATACTTACATGGAGTTCATTATGTGCTAGTCATTTTTGCATGTAATAATTTATTTACTTCTCATAATACTCCTATTAAGTTAGTTATGATTTTTACTCATCTTGAGAGATAAGGAAACTGAGGAATGAATAATTAATTTTTCAAGATAACGCAGCAAGTAAGAGGAGGATCCAAGATTTAGGCTCTAAAAGTACATAGTACACAGTAGAATCCTAATAATTAATTAATTAAATGAATAAAAGAATGTGTAATGGAATCAATATAGAGAGTTAGACCTGGGTACTTTAAGACAGAATTATGTATCCTGGTAATCCAGGAGATTTCTGTCTTCCAAACTGTCTAGGTTTACAAAGCTAAATTTAAAAGAGAGAAAGAGGGAGAAGCAAATGAAGTCAAGGCAATAACATGTAATAATATGTATATAGAAGTAGAAATATGGATTATGTTAAGGGCTATAAAGAATTGGAGAAAGGCTCTGAGAGTGTACCAGTGGACTGAGGGGTCTGAGAAGGTCTCCAAACGAAGGATCCTGAAAGGAAGAGTTGCTGATGAACAGGAATCATCCAGATGAAGAGCGGGGAGAACAGCTTCTCAGGCTGGTAACTAAGGTAAAGGTCCAGAGACAAAAATGATGCCGTATCAGATAAGGGAGTAAATGGTGCCGCTGGGAATGCATGGATGGGCTGGAGATAGATGCTGGGAACGTGGCAGGGGAGAGAGACAATGTCAACTGAACTGAAGCGGGGAGGTGAAAATTCAAGGGTAAAATTTTGGACAATTTAAGTTTGAGAAACTTGAGAGAAATTCATGTGTTGCTGCTCAGAAGGCAATGGATTCATAAACCTCTCAGAGGAGAGGCATGGATGAGTGGTAAGAAATGGTAAATATTAGCATTTGGATGGCATTAAGTCATGGGCATGGAAGATCACTTGGGCAAAGTTTGGACAGAGAAGAACTCTGATATTCAGGAATGTGCCAGAGAGAGTACCTTGTGAAGGAGGCTGAGGCACAGTGGTCAGAGGGGCAGGAACAAAGCAGGGAAACTGTAGTTGTAGGGAAGCTAGGAGAAGAGTGTCTTCAAAAGGAGGCATGGGTGACTACGTGGAATGAGGTGGGACGTTAAGTAAGTGAGGACTGAGAAGTGCTTTTTTGGATTTCCAACATGGAAATCACTGGTGTCCTTAACAAAGCTGTTCTGGGGTCATGGGGACAGAAATAAGACAGGAGTAGGAGGGTAATTATGACAGGTGTAACAGTCCATATAGACAACATTTTTTTTTTTAAGAAA